AATAACATCAGCTCTTTTTAGAGCACACACCCACCTTTACTCTCTGCCCCCAAAACACATCTGGTTTCATTTTTTTTTGAAATAAAACAGTAGGAAGATGATCTATCACATTCTTCAGTCATCTCCGGAGCTTTTCTTTTTCTAATGCCAACTAGGGTTCTGTAGTGTCTTCTTCAGTCTGTCCCCTGCTCCCTCAGACTCCATCCTCCTGCACAGCAGCAAATCCCAGCCTTTGGGTACACTTTCTGTGACCCACCAGCAACCTTTATGCTTTTGAGAACAGCTGTGAGTATGCTGCTCTCTTGTCCACAACTTCTGGAAAGTTTGTCTGAGAGTAACACGGTGGTGCTCTGAATTGCTTGGAGATGACCTGCTAGGTATGGCTGGGCTATATCTAAAGTTCTCAATGCTTGCAGATAGCAAGGCTGTTTTGGTGGCAAGCCCTCAAAAGGCAACAGAGATATAGAATAGAGTCACAGAATCATTTAGGTTGGAAAAGACCTTTAAGACCATCAAGTTCAGCTGTAAACCTAACACTGCCAAATCCACCACTAAACCATATCCCTAAGCGCCACATCTACCCGTCTTTTAAATACCTCCAAGGACGGTGACTCAACCACTTCCCTGGGCAGCCTGTTCCAGCGCTTGACAACCCTTTCAGTGAAGAAATTTTTCCTAACGTCCAGTCTAAACCTCCCCTGGTGCAACTTGAGGCCATTTTCCCTCATCCTATCACTTGCTGCTTGGGAGAAGAGGCCAACACTCACCTCACTACAGCCTCCTTTCAGGTAGTTGTAGAGAGCAATGAGGTCTCCCCTCAGCCTCCTTTTCTCCAGGCTAAACAACCCCAGCTCCCTCAGCCACTCCTCATAAGACTTCTTCTCTAGACCCCTCACCAGCCTCGTTGCCCTTCTCTGGACACACTCCAGCATCTCAACGTCTTTCTTGTAGTGAGGGGCCCAAAACTGAACACAGTATTGGAGGTGCGGCCTCACCAGTGCCGAGTACAGGGGCACGATCACTTCCCTACTCCTGCTGGCCACACTAGTTCTGATACAGGCCAGGATGCCATTGGCCTTCTTGGCCAGCTGGGCACACTGCCGGCTCATATTCAGTCGGCTGTCAACCAACACCCCCAGGTCCTTTTCCGCCAGGCAGCTTTGCAGCCACTCTTCCCCAAGCCTGCAGCGTTGCATGGGGTTGTTGTGACCCAAGTGCAGGACCTGGCACTTAGGCTTGCTGAACCTCAAACAATTGGCCTTTGCCCCTCGATCCAGCCTGTCCAGATGCCTCTGTAAAGCCTGCCCACCCTCAAGCAGATCAACACTCCTGCCCAATTTGGTGTCGTCTGCAAACTTACTGAGGGTGCACTCGATCCCCTCGTCCAGATCACTGATAAAGATATTGAACAAGACCAGCCCCAAAACTGAGCCCTGGTCTTTAGCATGGTCTTAAGCAATCTGTAACATGGTCTTAAGCAATCTGTAATACCAAGGCCAGAAGAAGCCTTGGGTCATTAGAAGCCTTCATGACAGGGCTTCTTCACCCCACTTGGTTATTCAGCCATACTTGTACCACACATTAGCAGAAGACTCTGCGACTGCTCCAAGAAATGTGCAGTCTAAGCGGAGGTGATGGAAAAATTTTAATGGAAGTACAACAAATGCATTTAAATGAAAGATTAAGATTGCAGTAGCCATCTTAAGAAATTAAACTGACACTTTCTTTACTATAACACAAATGGTGACTGTGTAAAGAATATGCCTTGTTTATTGGCAACCGTACTATCCCATGTATTCTTTTATTTCTTCAGCAATAACAGGAACAGCAACTTCAGGCTAAAAGAATATCATACTTCCTCTTTTCCTAGAAATCTTCCCAAAATGTATGACCCTATTCCTGTCAGCCAAACTGTCACTAGGGTATTTGGCACAATATGTCATCTTCTATGAAATCTACACCCTGTGTAGGTGGCTCCTGCATCGTATTTCTAACACCAGCCAACATTGCCTCTGTCCTTGCACAGCTCAGGATCCTTCACTTCCAGTGGACTGTGTTATGAGACATGAATTCCTCTATGAAATGGTGCCAAACACGTCTTTAGTCCATTAGTAGTTTGTGCCAGTTGCATTACAGCTAACTAAAATACTGCAGGCTTCTAAGAACTCCAACAAATGGTCGTATCTGCATCCCTGTGTCAGGACAGGGGCTCTGTGCACGTGCTGACTTCATTTACATCTTGGTTGAGGACCATAAAGCAAAACTGAGCTTGAATCATACTGCAAAACAGTAACTGTTTTACATCTGCCCCTTTGCAACGTGCTTCTTGAGAAGGTCCTGAAGTCAATCTTGCATTGTAATATGTCCCTTATGTTACAAGATATTAGTGCAGAATAAAGTACCTCAGGAACCAAATTTTTGGGGGATATAAGTTGGTGTAGCACAAAACAGCAGAGGGACCAGCCAAGCAGATGGTTAGTGATTTTCATCTGTTCTGCATAGGTCTGCTAACAATACTGAAAAGTAGTCCCAAATCTGCCTCTAGCTATGTCTGATTTTTCTGTCCTTACCACAGTGAAGAAGGCTACGCCTATGCTGAACAGAATGAGCCAGGGCTCCACATGCAAAGAGCACAGGAGCTTGTGTTCATGCAGCTAAACTCTCCTTCTCACAAAAGAAGATGGTCTTTGTCATCCAACCTGCCAGATACAGTCACCCTGCAATGCAGGGACATTTGCGGGAGACAACTACTTGGCATGACCCAAAGGTGTGCTGGGCAAGATGCTCAGTGATAAACCCATGCTCACACCGCTGCTCTGGCTGTTTGGTTTGCTCACATACTTGTATTGCCTTATGCTTCTACCCCTACTTACAGGCGGTGCAGAGGTAAAGATATGTGACTGTCTTAGAATAGAATCATATAATCATTTAGGTTGGAAAAGACCCTTAAGATCGAGTCCACCTGTAAATGTAACACTGCCAAGTCCACCACTAAACCATGTCTCTAAGTGCCACGTCCACACGTCCTTTAAATACCTCCAGGGATGGTGACTCAACCACTTCCCTGGGCAGCCTGTTCCAGTGCTTGACAAACCTTTCAGTCAAGAAATTTTTCCTAATATCCAATCAACAAGCCAAGTCTTACAACAAGCCAGGGCTGGAGCCACAAATAAAACTGAGGCATCATGACCCTGGCCATGTCCTCATTGCTGGGCTATGCTGCTAGAGAGTCTTCTTGTTTGGGTGAGTGCAAGAGGGATCGCTACAGCTCTGAGCTGTGGCTTCAGAGCCTGCCCTCACCTCACATCCAGTCATTTAAAACTAGACTAAAACAAATATTTGAGGAGATTTCTGCTCTTGGCATTTTAACTTCTAAGCCTGTCTACAGAAATGCTTTCTGCAGCCAAATTTATGTAAGATGGTAATCAATGCCTGGATTTATATTTGTGCTTTGTCAAGAACTGTACTAATGGGGAATCAGTAGTATCTGCTAATCTGTTCTCTCTCCCAGGTTATCCATGTAGATCCACCAAGCCCAGGACTTTGATTTATCTCACGTATTCAGTCATTGAATAATGGCCTTTAATTAAAAAAATGTATCTGTCCACCTAAGATGTCTGGTGACTAATAAAGACCCTTAGGAGAAGAAGTCTAACAGGCTAGACACAACAGAGTCTAGGGAAACATTCAAAGACAGTATGGATCAAATGACATCTCTAATCAAATGATCATTAGCAGGAGCATTTTGTGTCCTGTTGCAGATCCTGACAGATCACTGTCCTTTACCCAGCTAATATGTTCTATTAATCTTATTCAAGAAGCAATGTTTTACAGCAGGCTTTAAAACCAGGACAATTCAGAACTTGTCAACTCGTAAGTAAAGCACAGCACAGTTATTTGCTAATGTGATAAGCTGATATTTTCTACAGACTGGAAAAGTACAAGAAAACAAGTAAATGCCCTTTTCCACTGTGACATTAACACAAGACTGCGTGCCCCATCTTCCCAAGAAGAAGATTCCTAAAAGCCAAGCTTACAGCTCAATTTAATATCATGCAATTCAATGGAAAGTCTGTAGAAAACCACCTATCAAGGAATATATTTCTTCCCTATACTGTCCTTTGCCCATAAGCCTCCCATGCTCACATGTAGCTCTTTCACACCCAGTCTTTAACAGCACTGGTGCTGACTCAAGTGCAAATCATTACAGGCAACCCCCACGATCTCCTCTATGGATTACGCAATGATCAAGTCTCTGCGACTACTTAAAAAAGTAACCCATCAAACAGCAGTACTGAGACTGAAGTGACTGCCTCCACAAAGGTTAAACAGGTATCTCACTTCCACCCTTATCTGTTGTCTAGTGAGATGTTCTTCATACAAATGGGCTGAAGAAGGAAAGGCAGGTTCAGAGCATTCATGTAATGTGATCAGGTCCACTATGAATTTTACTTTGTGTCAGTACTTGAATATTTCAAGACATAACTCTGAGTCAGAGAAAATCCAATATTTTTTTTTAACAAGAGGTGGAGAGCTCCTGGTGGAGAACAGTATATTAGTTCCCATTTTGTGGGAGCTTCTGTTTGAGTACAGACCAAACAGAACAGAAAGTAATAAGTATTGCAAGTGTCTTTGCATTTATTTGACTTCTGGAACAACAGCAGCAGTTCTCTGAACTTTCAAACTGTCCGTATTACTAGTGGCTGTACACCCTCAGAGTCATATCAAGAATCCTCTTGACAGCAAGGAGCAAACAAAGAGACAGGAGAGCAAATGACAAGAAAGAAACTTTCCTAGGGTCCCACAGGGCACTGCATACAATCTGTGGACTCCAAGAGGTACTGAGAGCTGCTGGACCATAGAGAAGGAATAAAGGAAAGGATCTGGGCCTAAAGGATCCTTAAATAAGTAGAAAAGTATATGTAAAGTGAGTCAAACCTTACTGAGCAAAGCCGTCCCCAGTCTCTTGAGACTTACTTTAAATAAAAACAGCAACTCACCCTTTGACCTGGTAAACCAGGGACTCCAGGCTTGCCTTCCAGACCAGCCTCTCCCTTTAAAAGTGAAAAGTTTTAGAAAGTTAACTGAGTAAGAAAAAAATAATGAACTATATAACCATTTCCTAGCTGTTTTGTGCTATCGTTACTGCATGTCTACCTAGACAACTCTTACCTGATAATTACGTTGTCCTGTGAGCAGAAGAGAATAAGAAAACAGAATAGAGAAAAGTGACAATGCCCTGATTAAATACAGAGCACACAACTATATTTAAATTACATAATTAAAACCAGATTTACCTAAGTAACGCATCTTCACAACACCATCAATTTCACAAAACCCAATCAACAGTGAAACACAACGAACAATTCAAAAGCGAGGAAATACAGAGTATTTGCAAATGAGGCAGCAGTGACAGTCTGAACTGAGATATCCTGCAGAGTTGGGTTATAAAATATAACTAGAATAACCTACAATTAAATCAAAAGTAAGAATGCCGTCATGTCTAAATTGTTGCAAATATTGTGTTGAAACACAAACACACATACCCAATTCTTATTTTTCATCCACAAAATATTTTAGCCAGGAACTTGTGGCATAAAGCCAACCCCTTTTACAGCAACCGTTCTCTGACCTTCATTACATGATAGCTTACAAGTTGCCAGTGAGTGCCTCTCTGAGATGTGCTGAATGCCCAGACAGCTCTTCAGGACATTAGAAATATAAAAACAATCAGGTTCTGCATAACAACAACCTTGAGGGAAAGTCTGACTCTGTGCAATGCCTGCCCATGTCCTGGGTGCCACCTCCATACGTTCAGAGTGGCCATCCATAGCAGGAGACCTTCTCTCAGCAGTAAAGAAAACAGGAGGTTGGGGGCACTGTTTAAGTTCTTCGTGCCCGAGTAATGTATAAGGTTTTGCATGTATGCCTCACACCAGTCTGAGTTTCAGTTTCTGGGAATTGCAAGCGGTGAACCAACTTACCGGAGGTCCAGGAAGTCCAGGTTGGCCTTGTGGTCCTTGTAGCCCAGGCTCTCCCTACAGAAATGTTTTTTAAAAAAAAAAGTGTTAAAATATCTGTATGAAAAAATTATATGGGCACATTACTCATGTTGGCCATCTTTACAGGACCTATACCACCCCTTTCCTCGTAGATCCCGAAGAACCAGTGCAGAGACCAGCTGGTTTTCTCCTTAATCCTCTGGCTACTTGAATTATCAGCACTCATTAGACTGCACACAGACTGATCCACCCACGCTCAGCAGGCATTTATCCATAACTGGCTCTTTGTTTTTTCAAAGGTAGTAACTCTGCTGAAGACACTGGGCTATCCTGGATATTCCAGTAAAACACTGTGGGTTGGGGTTTGGTGGTGGAAAAAAGCAATTCTTGCAAAAACAGCTTCCACAGGCATTTCCCCCAAGCCAGCACAGCTGTGAAGGGCTTTATAGCATCATTTATATGATGCATATCATTATATTAAATAACAGTAAAATACAAATTACACACCTACCAACATAAAAGAAAAAATTAAATATATTTTATTTATATGCAGGACTAACAGACTGAAGCAACTGGTGCCTTTTCCCTATTTGAGTGCCCATGTTCAGAGAGAAACTCAGCATAAAACTCAAATACAGTTTAAGTTTTACATTAACACATCCCTGGACTTAAAGAATTGTGTAGGTGACTCTCCAATTTATACTTCTCATTTATGTTAGATTCACCGCACCTGAAAAGGACATTGCCCTTTTTCCTTTCTTGTTTATTTTCTCCACTGTCAATAGGAAAACTTGTTTCTTGATGTCCTGACAATGCTTCTACCCACCTTAATTTTGAAGCATTATTTGAAAGCAAAATCTAATCTAACAGGCAGTTGAACTATATAAAAGCATCCTTGCAAAGGAAGAATAGATATTGAATCTCTCTTACTTGCTCTCCTTTTAGGCCTTCAGTACGCACCTGCAATAAAAATGCAGAGTCATAAAGGAAAAAAAAGAGGAAAGACAACGCAGAAGGTGCCAGGGGCATGGTGGTCCCCCACAGTGTAATTTTCTTCCCTTGC